TATTATATTATATATATATAAGAATATTACATTATATGTACAGCACCTTAAAATGTATCCAACGTTAAAGTTTACACCTGGACTTAGATCAGCTGTTTGCTGCCCTCCACTGGCAGAAACAATGTAACTGAACCAATGTTGGTTTTAATGTATTAATAATCAATAATAAGTGAGTCTGGTCAGTTGGATTATTTATGTGGTTTACATCAAACTGATTTTAATGTTTCTGCATCCATTTAAAAGCCTTTTGAAATGATGAAATATTAAAAACAGTTAATATTGTAATTGATTTAAGTTGTTCATTAGATCTTTATGAGATGAGATGGATAATATAAATAATATAAATATTGTATTTTGGTCGTTTAAGAGGTAAAGTAAAGAACAATATTTAGTTCATTCTTTATCTATAAATATAATTTATCACAGGAAGCTCTCAGTTGACAGGTAAGTTCAGTTATTGATTGATTATTGGATTACTTACTGTCCCACACACACTGGTTCTGGTCCAGTTCTTTAAATCTTTTTTAAATGTTAGAACGTGTTCCTGAGGTTGTTTACAAGATTAAATAATAAAGAGAATATAACTTTATTAATGTTGTTATTTTAACATATTGAAGTAATTGCAGTTCACCACTAGATGCCACTAAATCCTCCACACTGGACCTTTCTGAGGGACTGTAGGTCAGTGGTTCCCAACCTGAGGGTCGGGACTCCCACTAGGGGTCGCCAAAGCTTCAGCGAGGCCTTCTTGATTTTAAGGGGGCGTAAGAAAACTTAAACACGCAGTAGGTCTGTATCTCAGTGTTTTGTTGATTTCTGTGAAGAAAATGAAAGTTTGCTCAGACAGAACGTATGAATGTTATATTAATAGTAAGTAATATTTACTGGTGTGTTCCCTACTTCCTTCCACAGTTTCAGTTGTTCTGTGCTGTTAATATCTGTCAATATGTCTACTCACTGATAGAAAATGGGCCCCCACTACTCAGCCTAATGGGCGTCAACTGAATGAAGGCACAGTAACACCAACCCAAGGTTAGATCTTTCTCTCAAAACCTGGTTCAAAGTGGAAGGAACCCTAACCCCCAACGATCCCCAACAGGCTAGATACAAGCTACACCACATGGCAGGAGCCAGGTCTCACTATTCATTGTGACTTCTTTAAAGAAATCCTCACGTAGAATCATTCATCTTTAAGGAAGAAGATTTGGAAAGATCAAGTTCTGGATTTGGAGTATTTAAAGGTTTAATTTCAGCACAGAGAGCTGATCCAGGCTCAGAACCGTACGAGGGCCTGCAAGAATAGTTTAACTGGACAAATATGGTCAGATAGTGAAACATAAGGCTGCAAATTACAATGTTTCTGAGCTGGATCACGAGATCTTACGTCTGGTAGATGTTGTGCAGTTGTTGGTTCAGACTCAGGTTCTTGTTGTGGAGGTAAGCCGCCATTTCAGCCACGACCGCTGCCGAACTCACGCCGTCTTTCTCAGGGACCAAACTGCTGCAAAGGAAACCTGAACACATACAAACCAACTGTTACCTGAACTCTAGCAGAAGATTTGTACCTGTGCTTCATTAAAAGGGCCGAAGCCTCTGTGGTTCCCAACAGTTTAACTTCCATTTGAAACATTGATCTGTCTGAAAGGTTCTGATATGGTTGGATTGACAATAAGAGGAGAAATGAGTCTTTTACTCTCTTCTGCTCTAATAATCTGGTCTTGGTCTCTGACAGTAATGAAAAGATTAAAACCTTTGTGGTTTCTGACTGTTACTTCTTTCTCCTGACATCCCTCAGCAGTCTGATATTTAACTATACAAACCGCGGTATGTATAGTTTAACTGTTACAACTGCTCAGATATACTCATTTATTTTTCCTTATATTTGTATCCGTCTCCAGTTTCTATCATTATTTCCATCACTATTAGTTTTTGTCACTTTGTATTTAGGGTTCAGATGAGGAATAGATGTGGTTTCTCTCCATGTGCCATTTCAGATGAGCCTGCTTTGTATATATGCAGTATTTATGATGTATATTGAGAGCATATGTATGAATACTATACAGACGAGTATGAGACCTTTTTCTTTCTGCTGTAGGAGAGTAACTCCCTGTTCAGGGTTGTTTATGTATATGGGGGTAAAAGGAAATACTAATCTCAGCAGATATTTACTGTATTCGTTGCTTGTCAACGTTTCCAAATAAAAACAACAAAAACAACAACTTTATTCTAGTAAAGTCTTTGTTTGTTTAGTGATAAAAGAAAAGAGAAATAAGCTTCTGTTGACCTCCACAGTGAGTGTGGAGGAGGTCTGGACTCTTTATATGAAATAAAGTAAAAAATAAACTTGGTTACCAATCGACTCTTCGAAGGCGAATATGACTGTGTTTCCTGTTTTGGAGAGTTCGTGTATTCTGTTCCCGATCCATTTAAAGCCAGGAAGAGTTTCCTGTTGAACACAGACAGACATCATCAGTTATAGTCCTGACTACACTGACACAATGATTACTGATTGATCTGATGTTTTCTGGTTCCTCTGACCTCGAAGTGGAACCCCTCGATGCGAGCGAAGGCCTGCAGGATCTTGGAGGAGACTGTGGTGGCCAACATGTAAACCTTCTGAGAGTCTGCAGGATCTGGATGAGCCTCCTTCCAATTAAAGAACATCCACCAACCCAACAGAGCCGCCAGCTCGTTACCTGTGAACACCTTCCAACCGCACCTGTAAGGCAGGAAGATACAGGTAAACACACCTGTATTGTTTTAGTCATTGATTAACAGTGAACAGTTTCCTAACGAGTTTATGATCTCAGTCTCTAGTTTAACATCTTCTTCCAGCTGATGAAAACACACCAAACTCAGATAAAACTGAAACTTTGAGCAAACGTCACAGTTACCTGTCAGAGTTCTCTGCTACAGCCAAACGATCGGCGTCAGGATCCGTCGCCAGAACGATCCGAGCGTTTTCTTTCTCTGCCAGAAGAAGTGAAAGTTCCTGGAGAACAGAAGAAGAAAAGCACTGGTTATTAAAACAAAAACCGTAAAACACAGAATACAATGAATCACTGGAAGGACTGAGATCTGTATCCTACCAGGACCGACGCTCCCTCCTCGGGGTTGGGGCAGCTGACGGAGGAGAAGTTGGGGTCGGGGTCTTTCTGCTCGGGGACGGGGATCGGCGGAGCAAAGCCGAAGGTGAGGAAGGCCTGCTGGACGAAGACGTGTCCGACACCGTGGAACGACGAGTGGACAAACTTTAATGGACAACTTCTGTTCAGATCCCTGAGAGACATGAGAGACACATTTTAGCTATTTCATCTTACCTGTGGAGGCAGGTGAGCTCACGTTCATTTGAAATACATTTGGCTGCAGAGGTTTGGGGACTGGCTGCAGAGGTTTTAGAGGTTTGGGGACTGGCTGCAGA